CCTGTTAGATGGGCAAAAGATGTAGATTCGCGCTCTCTGAGCTGGGTGGTTTTCTTGCAGACATTTCATGACCCAACTAGGTAACATCATTGGTGCTAGAAGAAGGGAGAGGAGAAGGAGGAGGACTGTGGGGTCCTTGGTGCTCTCTGAGCTTGGTGGCTTTCTTGCAGACATTTCATGACTCAACTATGTAACATCATCTGTGCTAGAAGAAGGGGGAGGAGGAAGAGGAGGAGGAGGGCTATGGGGTCCTTGATGCTCTCTGAGCTTGGTGGTTTTCTTGCAGACATTTCATGACCCAACTAGGTAACATCATCAGTGCTAGAAGGAGGAGGAGGAGGAGGAGGAGGAGGAGGAGGAGGAGGAGGAGACTGTGAGGTCCTTGGTGCTCTCTGAACTTGGTGGTTTTCTTGCAGATATTTCATGACCCAACTAGGTAACGTCATCAGTGCTAGAAGGGAGTGGGGTTTACTCTCTGTTTACATACAAATGGCTTCCTCTGTCACCATTGATGGGAGTGTTGCTTTCTTCTTGTCCTGTCCTTGACTGGTCTGTTGTTTACCGTTGGATAGTTTAACACCAAAATTAATGCGAGACCAACAATCAAGCAGGGTGAACAACACCCCAGTCAAGGAACCTACCAACGAAACATCTGCAAACAAACATCCAAACTCAGAGAGCATGAAGGACTCCCTAGTCCAACTCAGAGCTACAGATATTATCTTCTACTGATATGTAAGGTATAGTTTTGGTTTTCAGGATTCTTTTTTTTTTTTAACTAGATAGTGAGATCCAAGTTATTTTCTTTTCTTTCTTTTTTAACCTGTAGAAAAACGCCACCAATGGCAAGACCAATTATTCTTTAGTTCTTCCTCATGGTGGTTTTTCTCCCTGATGTTAAACTGGCCAGAAAAAACACTGCGGACCGTACATGTAGATATTGGGAGCTTTGCCAGATGTAAACCACTGCCTTCACTGACCTTGCGCTTCTCCCTGGATTTGTCTTAACTTAGATCAGGTCTGAGCAAATGCCTGGTAGTTAAATTAATTATTGTGGGTTTCTCCCAGCTGTGGATCCATTTGCTTCTCATTTTCTAACTCCCGGCTTCCCGCGAGCGTATGCTAGCGGAGCACGGAGCATCTTCTCCTGGGAGCCCTCTGAAAATTGCTTTTTCATTAGAAGAACGGTAGTCAATATGCTATAAATCATTTTACACCGTGCCATCCTGAACTACGTTTTCAGGGGGGGGAAAAAAACCAACCCTCTGTAATAATTATACGGTAGGTCTTTCGTTGTACACCTGAAATGGATCCAACAAAATCTCTTACCGCTTCCATTGTTTAGCCCCGTTCTCTGCTGCAGCTGCCAAAAAAGCCAACACAGTGCTGGGCTGCATTAACAGAGGGATAGAACCAAGATCACGTGAAGTATTAATACCAATTTACAATGCCTTGGTAAGGCCACACTTGGAATATTGCATCCAGTTTTGGTCACCACGATGTAAAAAAGATGCTGAGACTCTAGAAAGAGTACAGAGAAGAGCAACAAAGATGATTAGTGGACTGGAGGCTAAAACATATAAGGAACGGTTGCTGGAATTGGGTATGTCTAGTTTAACGAACAGAAGGATGAGGGGGGACAGGATAGCAGTCTTCCAGTATCTCAGGGGCTGCCACAAAGAAGAGGGAGTCAAGCTATTCCCCAAGGCGCCTGAAGGCGGGACGAGAAGCAATGGGTGGAAACTGGTCAAGGAGAGAAGCAACTTAGAACTAAGGAGAAACTTCCTGACAGTTAGAACAATTAACCAGTGGAACAACCTGCCTCCAGAAGTGGTGAATGCTCCAACACTGGAAGTTTTTAAGAAGAGACTGGACAGCCGTTTGTCTGAAATGGTGTAGGGTTCCTGCCTGGGCAGGGGGTTGGACTAGATGACTTCCAAGGTCCCTTCCAACTTTATTATTATTATTATTATTATTATTATTATTATTATTATTATTATTATTATTATTATTATTATTATTATTTGGTAAAGATTGGATCCATTTTCTTATTCGTGAGATTTCCTTTCTCTTTAGCTGTTTGGTGTCGTAATTTCATTCAACTGTAAGAGAATTGAGGACATTGTTTATAGGCAAGAATACTACAGAGTCAGCATGTTGCCCCCAACAATCTGGGTCCTCATTTTACCGACCTCGGAAGGATGGAAGGCTGAATCAAGCTTGAGCCTGGTCAGGATCGAACTGCCAACAGCCGGCAGTCAGCAGAAATAGCCTGCAGTACTGCATTTTAACCACTGCACCACCACAGCTCATATGATACATAAAAGTACAGCCTGACTGTATCACGTACAGCATTTCCTATGATTTAATTCACTTTACTTGTCACTATCTTAGTATAATTGCTGCTCTGATCATAAATAGGTGCAGTTCCCTGGATAGCTTTTAACATTACGTACAAAACATCATCAGCTACATATATAGTATTTATTTCTGTAGTGTTTACATGTGGCTGTATCAAAAGCACGTACCCCTGCGTAATATTCCCCTCTTTTAGTTCCTCTTCTTGTTTTATGTAAAAATGCCAGTAACCAATTAAAAACAAGATCACGCAAACCTTTAGTGGTTATCTGTACGGTGCTACCTGCATTTGCTTTTAATTTTTAATTCAACTGATTTTTTTTTTAAAAAAAAAAAACACATTACAAATATAACCTATCATAGTATCATGGACAAACAAACTCAGGAAACAAAATTGCTTAAATTTCTGGAGTTATTTAGATGGGTATCATAACAGAGTTTTGAAAGCCCCTGAAGGCAGGACCAGAAGCAACGGATGGAAACTAATCAAGGAGAGAAGCAACCTAGAACTAAGGAGAAATTTCCTGACGGTGAGAACAATTAACCAGTGGAACGACTTGCCACCAGAAGTCGTGGGCGGCTCCATCAGTTGAGTCTTTTAAGAAGAGATTGGACTGCCATTTGTCTAAAACAGGGTTTCCTGCCTGAGCAGGGGGTTGGACTAGAAGACCTCCAAGGTCCCTTCCCAAATCTGTTATTCTACGAAGCCTGCCGTAGACATTCTCCAGCTTAACTAGTAAAATGCATTGGAGTTACTCTCTTTTTCATGTTTCCCTCCTACTCTGGAACTAACTACCTTTTCTCTTAATAGTCCTGTGTCCTCAAATAGTGACCTTTCTCCTTGGGTGTGGAGCAAGGAAGTATTTCTCGTTGCAACCAATGTAGTCCAGGGAATTACAAATCTTTCCAGAACTAAAATTGAAATTTCTTTCACACCCTTTCCTATGCCCATTGAAACCCATAAAAATATCTGCAAAACCTTTCGGATACGACACGAAAAACACAGATACTTTGGCAAAAAGATGGAGTTTACTGCAATAACGTGGCATCTTGCCTGTCCTTTTCGTGTGCTGGATTGGACCGGCACCGTTCATTTGTACCCATATACCAGCGTACTTAAAAATAGATGGCAAAGTGCGGTAAATGTAAAAAGTCTCCTTCTGTGCCTCACCAG